CCGCCTCCGCCCGCCCCGCGCCGCTCCGGAGCTGTCGGTCCCTGCGCCGCCGGAGCGGGGCGGCGGGCGGCTGTGGCCGCAGCGTGGGGACGGGAGGAGGAACGCGGGTCTGGGGAATGGCGCCTTCGCCTCGGGTAGAGGCCGGAGACGGTTAYAGGGGGCAGTGGCATCTTCCCCTCAGGCGGAGACCGGGAGAGGGTTCAGGTGGGGAATAATGCCTTCCTCTCAGGCAGAGATCGGAAGAGGGGTACGAGAGGGAATGGCACCTTTGCCTCAGGTAATGACCTGAAGAAGGGTATGAGGAGGGTGCCTTCCCCTCAGGTAGGGACTGRGAGAGAGGTGCAGTGGGAAAATGGCGCTATCCCCTCAGGTGTTGATCAAGARAGGGGTACAGTGGGCCATGGCAGGGGACATCAGGAGAGGGGTATAGATGGGAATGGCACCTTGCCCTCAGGTATCCCTTGGAAGAGGGGTACAGGGAGAAACGGCATCTTCCTCACAGGTAGAGACTGGGAGAAGGGTATGGGGGAATGGTGCTTTCTTTTTAGGTGGAGGCTGTGAGAGGCCTACATGGTACAACCGCATCTTCTCAGGTGGTGACCTGGAAGGGGTGAAGGGAGCAATTATATCCTCTCAGAGACTGGAAGGGRTCATGGGTCGAGGAGGAAAAATGTCACCTTCCCCTCAGGTGTAGACCAGGTCAGGTCCATGGGCCGTGGAATATGGAGGATGTGGAGGGGAGCCCCAGCTCACTCGACCCAGAGTGACAGCACAGTGGGACCCCAGTCAGGGCACAGTGAGGGGACAGTGACAGTGGACTTAGTTGCATTGTAGCCATGTCAAATGGCTTGTGCCCCATCTTCTGCACAGTATCAGGAGGATCCCAGGCCCCTGTCCTCAACTGCTGCGGCATGGCAGATGCAAACTCCCAGCTTGGGCATTGAATTCTTGTAAAACAGCAACACAGATTAGCCAGTCATCCAGGAGGCTGCTTTTTTGTGACAAATTTGGTTTTACTTAGCTCTAATTTTAACAGACTTACTTAAGTCAAAAACATGTAAATGTCATTACTCCTCAACAGTTCCCTTTATCATCCRGGCTTGTAGACTCAAGAAAGAATCCAGGTTTGTTTGAGTCATCTCTGCAGGCTGGCATTGCAGGATTAAGGGAGAGGAATTCACTTTTTAGTTGAACCTCTTCACGTTGCATTCACTGTGTTGCTTGAGACTGAGGCTCAGTGTTCCTCCTTGGAATGCTGGTGTGGTGTTAGTGCTGTGAAGCATCTTTCCAATCTCAAAATGCCTTAGAAATCCCCATCATCAGGGTGGAAGTCTTCTCAGCCAAAATGCTGTTGGTGTCCGGAGTACAATTTTGGAAATGTATATCCATATTGGATRCCTTCTAACACCTTTCTTGGTTTCTTCATTCAGGAGGATATTGCACATATCCATGAAGTAACTAGCTGATACAGGCCCTGCACAGATGCTTAGAAAAACGCTAAGGTCAGTTGTGGATACCTGTTATTGGGCTCTCATCTCATAGCTTGATCTCCAGAGATAACTAGAGCTGCAATTTGCAGCCTTCCTGAACAGGAACACCAGCTGTGTTACATCCTGTCTATGGGCAAACYTGTATCAAAGCAAACAAAACGGGAACTTCGTTCCCAAATGCAGAATTYCTATTCTTACTCATCCACTTGAATGGGTTGGAGGTTTTAATAATTCTGGTTAGATTTAATAATGATGAGGTTTCAAAATCCTGGATAGAACCAGATACATCATAGCCGGTGCACAATTGCATTAAATTGTGAGATATTTCACAATGATATATATGTATAATTGAATTGATTTGTAGCTTTGTTTACTTGCTTTTAACTAGTTATCGAAAAAGCATCTTTCCATAACAGCTGCATCAAAAAGAATGCAATAGGAAGCCATTACTTCCAGGACAGCACAAATGCTTGCTTGGATCTGACACATTCAATAGCAACATGCAGACAAAATTATTTTAAAGGTGCCTTTAGTTAACGTTGCCCAATTTAATGTATACCTGCACATGTTTTTGTCTATAAAACATTGTCTGGTCTGTGAGTGCTGTGCTATTTTTAACTTGCTTGCTCCAGAGGGTCTTCTGAATGCCAGCAGCATGGATGGGTGCCTTAAGAAGAGAACTAGCACCACACAAAGCCTTTTCTCAGGAGTTATGGAAATTATCCAGRCTTGAAATGCAGCTGGAGTGATTCCTTTCCATATTTCTATATCCTTGAGAGGATGTATTTTACTTTATCTGATGTGGTGCCTTATTCTGCTGTAAATATCTGATATCTCTGACAGGCTGTTAGCGACATCATTCAGTGATCCAGTCCAGGACATGTTTATTATCTCCCATGATATTAAATTGTTCTGTGTGATCCTTTTGAAAAATCAGTCTTTGGCAGTCTAATTGGATGATTTCATTCACTAATAAATCATTACATCTAATATTTTTTGGTGCCATTTAAAGAAGATTAGAAAATGGTAGAGATGTCTCTTTCAATATGTTTGGGTGGAATTTTACTTTGTTATTTTGAGCTCTTGAACTGATAATTCCAGTGTCTTTAATTAAGATACCATTTACTGTGGTAGAGGAGAGAGGAGTATTGCTCCTGATGTCTGCAGGGCAGGTGAAGACACTCCATGTAGCAAAAGTCTCCTGTTCAGGAATTTGTATGCTGTATCTTTTACCTCACAGCATGCCTGGGGCTATGATTTTGGGACAGAGGCTGGGGTGGAGAGCAGGACATGCACGGTGCTGCCTTCTGGAGCCCTGCTGTGAGGAATGGTGCATTGTGGCATGTGATTAAGGAGTGGGAATAGGCAATAGTCCCTGAGGAGAAGCTGAAAGAGAAAGTGTGGTGAAATGGGAATGAAAAGCTGGAGGGAAAAGGTCTTCCTCAGAACCACATCAGTTCTGGGGATGCTGGGCTTACTGTGCCACCATTTTTTATATTACTCTAAGAGAGTCAAAATGTGGTGAAAGACCTTCTGTGGCCTTGTTCTGTTGTTAAATAAATTAACCCCAAATAGATCTAAAACATCACTGGCATTGTAATAGTTAACAGAGATTCTGAAAGCATTGATCCAAAACTGATGCCTACCTTTGGGATTCCAAATGGATGGTGCTTCCATTACGGCAAGCTCAGCTGCGTTTGGCAATGACAGATATTGATGAGATAACAAGTTTGCTGTATCGATGCTGCTTGAGAGTGCTGCCTGCTCAAACTCATTTAACATTGGGCTAAACCCTGTTTAACAAAGCTGCTTCTAAGCTAGAGATGAGCACTGAATGCTTTTTGGGGTGTTTTAGGGGAGGTGCCCTTTGGTGTTCTGGTTTTCCTGAACATCAACCACTGTAGACTCAAGCTTGCAAAATGTGGGAGGATAAGCTGGGATAAAGTCGTCATTCCTTTGGAGGGGAAGCACAATTTCCCCCAGGGTTAGCTACAGCAGATAAGGTTTTCCAGCCTGTGCCTTGCAGAAACCCCAAACCAAAACAAAGGTTTCTACTCATCCCTTTCCTGACAATGCCAAGAAGCATTGTGTTGGCAAAGCTCTGAAGTCAGGAAAAATGTGGAACAGCTGCTGGTTTATCTTTGGTGTTGCTGCTTTTTAATTAAGTAAGTGCTGTGAGCGTGTCGTGGGCTGGAGGCTGAAATTCAAAAGCATCTTTCCAGTYCTTTTAAAAACAACCTGATGAGCAATGCTTGAGCAATATGTTGTGTACCTTAGCATCTCTTAGTGACTGCATCCTACATCCCAAGCTTTGTCCCACACCTTATCACCCCTGCTTAAGCTGCTTTGATACCTGCAGGCAGGCCCCTGGCTGGGGCACTGGCAAGGAGCTCTCCTTTGGTTTTTTGAGAAGTGCCCTTCAAATGTGTTTCTCTTTTCCCGTTTTATTTTCCTAGATAGAAAAGCTATCCTTAGTGATTTGCTGTGATTCAGTGCAAAGATGGTTTTGTAAAAGATACTGAAAGGGTCGTTGCCAGTGCAGGAGTTTGAATAACGTAGCTGTGTGGCTTCTTATGAAATTGAAGATCTGATTATTAAACATAGACTGTAATAAAAATAGTTTCTGGTGTTGGCGGACGCATTTCAGCAAAGAAATGTGGCTTAAATGTCTTCATTTAATTCCAGTGTGTTTAAAATTGATCTCATGGACCGGAAAAGAGGGTTTTTTTCGCCTTAACTAGGGTCTGTGAAGGAAATTAATACAGGGAAGAGAAAATAGAAATACAATACCGCACTCAGTGAAACAAATGCTTATGACTGAGGGCTTCTTTCCTTGCAAGCACCACTGGAACAGCCAGCTGTATAAGGTATGTTTTATTATGGAATTAACCTTGACCTAAGGTTCAAAGAGAAAGGTTAGTTTGAAATAAATCAGTAGTATGGTCAGGTCACTTCAAAGAGTCTAAAGCTGAGCTTGAAGATTGCATGCTGTTTATGTGTATCCAGTTGGAATAGAACATATGGTAAAGATAATAGAAGTAAACTATTTATCTCTTCCACCCGCCCCCACTTTGGATTTAACGCCTTTTTGTCCTTTGCATAGATCTGCTGCAGGGGATGTTTTTATCCTGGGATGTTTATTGAAAACAGAAATGTGGAATGAAACAACCTTTTTAAGTCAGCTGGGTAAAGCAGTTTTGCCTTTAACGTTTTTCCAATTGTTCAGACTAAAGTAAACCATCTTGGAAATAGTMATGAATGTGGTGAATCATATTTCTCTGTCACTTGTCTCAGTGAATTCAGACAGTCTTAAGAAAATCAGAACAAAATGTGCTCAGTTCTGAATTACTGCTGTTCTGATCTAAAAGCAGGATCACATTTAATTGTTATATGTGAGTTACATGGATTTAAGAGCTTGCCAAATACCAGATAATTCATGCAATATCCCAGTAAAATGGGCATGARTATCCCAGCTAGCGCTGGGAATGGGAACTGAGGGTGGTTAAGCAATTTACCCAAAGCCACTTGTAAACTGTAGCAAAACTCAGATTTGCCCTCATGGCTACTCTATATTCCAGCCCTCTTTGATTGAAAAGACCAGAATCCCACCTAGAATTCCTTAATGCCATTCTGCTGCTTTAACCACAAGGCCAACTTGTATCTTTTGGTCTGTGTGCCTTTATTCTTTTGCTCTCTGTACCATAAGAGAGATAACCAGGACTTGAAAGGCGGTGTGTCCAGCATTCATTTGAGTACAGGTTCAGCTTTGTGTAGGTCATTATGTAGGGGAAATAAAAGAACTTTTTGCTTCTTCCAGTCACATTGGATGGGGCTTGGAGCAATCTGCTCTATTGGAAGGTGTTCCTGTCCATGGCAGGGGGATGGAATGAGGTGATTTTTAAGGTCCTTTCCAAACCAAACCATTCTTGGATGGGATGAAGGACAAGGTAGATGCATTGAGGGGCTGACAGTTATTATCTTACATGCAGAGGTTCTCCCTACTGATTTCAGCATTGAATTGCTGCAGTGTGTGATGTGCGAGGCCAACACTGGAGTTTTGCAGTGCTTACAGGGAAGCAGTAGGAAGAGCAGTACTGCTGGATGCTGGGAAGCCGAGGGATCCTCTGCTGAAATTAAAAACAGCTGCTGAGCCAAGACATAGTAATAGCTTTCCTCCACAGATTGGTTTTTCCATAATGTGATACATGCAATTTGCAGATAGTAGCATGTTTTAAGATTTATGATTGTCTGATTTTTCCCATTAATAGGGAAATCTGATAATTGTCCATTTTAAAGTGATTGCTGAACAATAGGAAGGAGTATGCTTGTTAAAAGTAAACATAAAAGCAAGCTGGATCTATGTTAGGGTCCTGAGCCTTTGATAGATTTTCTCCTTACAGCAGTCTTTGATCTGCCACACCAGAAAATAAACTCAGTGGGAGACTGGATATGGGATATAGAGCAGTTCACCTCTAGGTCATGGACTCCAATCCAAGCCAGGTCAGGAGTGAGCCTCTGGGTCAGTTCTGGCGGGAGCTGGGGTTGGCAGCACCCCGATGTCTGCGCTGCACAGGGAACATGTGGGTCTGCAGGATCACCCCTGCAGCAAAGGGGGGACCTATTGCTTCTTACCCACTTGCCAAATGAGAACTTTGCAGCTTTGCCAGGGAGATAAATGATATGGAAATACCCAGGGCTGCACAGGGGCTGCATCAGGATTTGGATCTCAGGAATGTGCTTGCTGGAGTGCTCTGGCATGGGATGTGTGAAGGTTGTGCTCAGTCCTTCACAGCAATCCCTGTGTTCTCTATCTTCTCAAAAACTTATAGCTGTGCATGTTAGTTATCAGTTTATCTAAACAAAAGGGAAGTATGTAAATATCAGTCCTGTAGGAAGAGACCTGTGGAATGTGCAACAGTTGTCCCAGAGGCAGCAACCTCTCCTGGCAAATAAAGGGATATTATCTGAGAAATATTTGAGCCCTGTGTCTCACCACCTTTGGAAGGCTGATT